TGGCAGCCATCTTGATCACCTTGGTGGGCGCGCTGCAGCAGGAAGACCCCAGCGGGGGTAGAGCCACACCAAGAAGCTTCGAGGCAGAGTCAGGCATGGCGGCCTGAGCTGGAGCAGCCATAGCTGCTTTGGGTTGTCCTTTGGACATCAGGGCAAGGCCCAGTAGTCCGCCATAGCCTCGGCCTATGAGAGTGAAGAGTGAGGGAGGCGGCCATGGCTATGGTGGACCTCAAGTGATACCTGCAGTAGAAGAGGAACTCGGACATGATTCTGGATCAGCCATTCAACATTGTACTATTATTTCTTGTATGAATAAGAGAGGAGTAAAGGAGGAGGAGAGTGTTGGGCGAAGAAGAAGAGCTTTGTCACTTGTCTATGCTGGTGTACATCGTCTTTGAAACGGTTTTCACCTTTTAGCGGTGGCGGATGCAGTACCCTGGGTTCGATCCCTAGACCTCACCCTACCCATGTACAGTATCTGTGTAGACCCCGAGAATTGAACCTGTGACCTGTGTATTCGTAGGCAGTTGGTAGGCTTGTCGTAGGTCCATAGGCAGCAAGGGTTCGATCTGTAGCATAGGAGTCTTAGTGAGTTCCGGAAGCTTAGCTGTAGACCTTCTAGAAGGTAAGCAAGTGGGCAAGTGGTCAAGTGGTGAGGCAAGTGGTGGACTAAACCGCAGTGCAACAACAGTACAACGTCGGTAGGATAGCGGTGAGTCCACAGTCAGTCAGCGGAAGGTCCAGTCAGTCCCAGTCCGGTCCAGCAAGTACCACAAGGGGACTGTGAGCACCAAGGGCCGATGGCAAAGGGCAGACCAACAAGTTTCTGAAGTATAAACCAAGAGGCAGCGCCCAGCCATTCATTCATTCCTGCGTGAGCCATGCGGAAGCGCTGCCACAGCGACTTGTGCAAGGAGGTCTGTAGATGAGCCCGGAGGACGTAGTGGGCTAGAGAGAGGGAGTTAGCATAGCGATAGGTTAGATGCAGCGACAGCTGCCATAGCCGTAGTTAGTAGTGTGTGTGTGTGTGTGTTCGAGTGTTAGAGTGACGCGTGTGGGATATCCAGGGTGATCCAGTGTATGTGAACAGTGGGATGTTTGGGCGCTGAAGTCGCCATAGCCAATTGAGAGTGAACTCGT